CGAAACAGGCTTAAGGCTCATGAGAAGATCCTCCTGTTCCTTGCCTAAGTTCTGACATCTTGCTCAGCTTTTTCTTCTGTGAGCTCTCTCCTTTCTGAAGTTAGAGAAATTTGGTAAGTCCATCAGAAACTGAGATATTTCAATGTAGAGTGGACATTAGCTTTCTGTTTGCTGTCTTTATTGGGAATTCTCATTACCCTCTGAAATATCATAAAGTGCTTGGAAGCTCACACGTGTACTTCCATGACTTCATGTCCTGTTGTGATGCAAGTTATTCCTCTGCTGCTTAATCTTGTAGTTGATTTTGGGAACTCTTCTCAGCTGCTTATATTTGTTTTTTTCATAATTCATACCTGGTCAGAAACCAACTGAACTTCTGCAGACATGTTAACTCAGGTTTGTAAATCCTTCCTAGAACAAATAAAACAATTTTGTTAAATGTATGTTGGAGGAGATACCTGAGTCGATGCGCAGTCTTTAGTCTTCATCACGTCTTAAGCCTGAAGATACTGGTACCAATAAATTTAGCCGTTAATGACCTCTGGGTCTGGTATTTAGCCAGACCAATCTTTGTTTATCCCTCCCTCCAGAGAAGTGTTATGCAGCAAATGAGGCACTGCAAGTTTTCTTTTTGCCTAGGTGACCTATTCCTTATTTGCAGTAAAATAATGAAACAGATTTGCTACCAAGAACTGCAGGTATGTTGATGCCTTTAGGAAGTGACTTTACTCAACTTTGATATTTTGTATCCTTCACCCATCTGCCTAGAGATATTCCAACAGCTCGTCTGTCTTGTGATTCCTGCCTTCAGATTTCTACTGTGACTTTGAACTGTTACTACAAAGTTCAGCTTTGTGTCTACAACCATTCTGCAAATTTTGTTGCATGTTGCTAATAAGGCTGCCTGTGACTTGGCATCTGCTGTGATGCTGAAAAGATTCTTGTGACACAGCGTGTGGGGTTCTGTGGGGATGGTTGGTTCCTGAAGGGTGTTTTTTTTGTTTTGGTTTGGTTTTCCACTGGGCAAGACCTCCCTATTTCTTATGTTGATCTGATGTTGATTTCATTAAGGGGTTTACAGGTGTTTCTGCTCTCTGGGAATTTTTCCGGTGACCTCCAGAAAGAAGCTAACCTTATCAATCCTTTTCTGCCTCACCAAGCTGCCCTACTTTCAGACTTTTTCAGCCTCCTCACAGACAGCAGGAATCTTTGCAGACAGCAGGAGTCTTTGGGAATAAAACTGTAGGCACTTTTGAACAGAGATAGGCCTACTGGAGCTTAAATTGGTAAGGTTATTTTGAAGGAGAAAACACCCAATTAATTCAGGCCACCAGTTCTTGAAATATTGTCCTCCTACCTGTAGCACCTTGATGGAGGTACTAGAAAATGCTGATGATTTGATTACTGGTTGCCATTGTGCTTACTGACTTACAGAGGATGAGAGAAGGTTAGTTTACAGATCTACATTAAAAGTGCTTTCTGCATCTAGGTCTCTTCTCAGCTATCTTCAGAGGCACCAGTAGAAGCCCAGGCTATTAAACCTTCTCCTGCTGTTATTATAAAGCCTCCCGTGTTGTTCAGACAGCCCACCCCTGTGACAAGACCAAGTGCCCCACTGACAAGGCCTGCTACACCTATGACAAGGCCACATGCTCCAGTTTCTACTCCAACTACAACCCCAAGTCATGGTCAGTCTTTAAAACCATCACCTTCTACTGTGGAACAGGAACGCTGGGATGAGGATTCTTTCCACGGACTCTGGGACACAAATGAGGATAAAGGAGCAAATATGAAGTACGAGTTGTGTAAACAGGAGTCAATGATGCCTCCGCCTGTCTCCTCGCCTGTGAAAGTACCTGCTGTTCACACCTCTGTTCCATCAGCTGTACCAGTGTCCCTTCCTCCAGTTATTCCACCAGTTCCTAAAGCACCTGTAATTCAGCAAACTGTGGATTATGGCCATGGGCGAGGTGAGTCTTACAGTGTATTTATTTGATCTGTAACAGAGAGCTAATTAGCCATCCTAGCTTCTTTCTAAAGGAATGTGCCACACAAAGCATGCTGTAGATGTTCTGCAGTTGACCTGTAGGCTGTGTACATTGTGATCTAGTGTTAAGCAACGCAGTTTTAAGAAGTCTGTAACCTCCGGCCTTGAGTTTAGTGTTTTTTTTCAGTGCTGTAATAATGGGCTATTTCATGTGAAATGAATGGTGGTGAAACATCTGCTTCTGACACCAACTGATGTAATCATGTCAATGTGTTAGATTTAGATTGACACTGACACTTTCCCTTAATCCCTTTATAGCCAAGTATGGAAATAACTGTGCTAGAAGGTACTTTGGATGGTTACAATTCTTAGGTGTGACTTACTAACTTAAACCAGAATGTGGCTGGTGTTTGCTTTGTTAATATACTGCGTGATGAGTGTGAGGAACCCTCTAGACAGGGAGGGAGACAAAGTCCTACTTCTGAAGGGCATGCATCCTAAACAGGCATTTAACACAAACAGTGAAGGGCTCTGATTTTTAGTATTGAGCTTATCAAAGCTGAAATTCAACACTATTTTTTTAATAGAATTAATTTCCCTCATTCTTAGTTTTTAACAGGAGTGAAATCATGTCGTAAAGAAGTTCTTAAATTGTGCATTGTTGTTGAAAGAGCAGTTTTTCTCTCTCTAAGGTGCGATAACGTGAATTGAAGCCATATCAATTCCATTGAGTAGATGTTTTACTAAAAGCTGTTAGAAAAATTGTCAGTTAGGAGTCTAAAGTGAGCATTTCTGTTAACGTTCTTGACATTGCAGTAGTTCTGTGAGTTGTTGAAACCCTCAGAGCATTTTAATGTTTATAATCTTCTGACTGTGCCTGCTGCCTGAACTCATCTGAAAAGGCGGAAGTCCCATTCTTAAGATAGTGGTATGCATACTTACGCACACAAACCTGCTTCAGACTTTCAAAACCATGGTGTTGTGTATTTATGTATAGCTCTTTTTTGCATTATCTATTAAAAGAAATTTTGGTAAGTTATTCCAGTCACTTTTAATGCCATTGACTGGTTGCTTTTCATGACAGAGGAAAGGAAACCGAAGAGGGGTATTTTAAGATCTTTTTTTTTTTTATTATTATTTTTAACCAGATATAACCACCAGTAAAGTGGAACAGATTCCATATGGCGAGAGAGTAACCCTGCGTCCGGAACCTCTACCAGAGAGACAAATGTTTCAAAAAGGTAGGGCCCACTTGGCTAACTCAGACAGTTAGTTAACTCTTAAGAAAAGTTGTAAGGCACTAAAAGCATATTTTACACTCAGTAAGTCTTGTTTAAGCTCAAACCACTTTATTTTCTTCAGAGGCCCATGAGATTAGCAGTCTATATTGTCAAGAGGAGTAATGCAGTCAATGAGCTAGGCGCTTGAAAAATTCAGTCTTGTAGCTTTAAGTAGGATTGCGTAGCATGGTTGTCTCTTACAGTTTGGAAAAGAGATTCAGTGGCTGATTAAGTCCATTCTAGCCCTCACATCATATGTTTCTATATACTTTTCTTGCATTCTCATTTGCTGTTTTTCCTTCAAAGATAATAAAAAATTCAGAATATGTCTTAATAGTTTGGATTGCCATGGGTTTCTTCTTTCAGAGCACCCTAGTCGTTACAACAGAGAAAGAGATCGTGAGCCTTATTTTGAGCGTCAAGGTAATTCCAATACAGATCATCGGGATTTCAAGAGAGAGCGGGAATTGCACAGAGACCGTGGTTCTGTGGACTATGAACGAGAGAGGTTTGAAAAAGAGCGACATCCCCGAGAAGATAGGTACGTGGTCCCAGGACGCTATTGAAATCAATGTAATTCAGGCTGTATGGCCTATCAGGCCATCCGTTTTGCCTGGGAGGTACATGTTCATTTCTCTCTGGAATCTGTAGTAGAAATTCTAGAAATATGCAAAATACTCTTTTGGCAGGGTTCTTCCTACAACACCTTCAAGGACTCAGTCGTACCGTGACAAGAAAGACCATCCCTCCTCCAGGCGGGGTGGTTTTGAAAGACCACCATACGAACGAAAGACAGATCGTCCAGCATATGATCATGGGCCTTCTATGTTTGGAGGTAGAGTTTCTCAATCTTGAAGCAAAGCTAGAAAATTATGAAAAATATGGACTCACAGAGATGATGATTAATTAGAAGATGATGAATTGATTTGCAGTATTTCTTTGTTCAGAATATGTAATTTAGGAAAATGTATTTGGGTGGTGTTATGTAGTTTTGTTTCTCAGTGTTCATGAGATCAGGAATGCAGCAGTGACATACTCTGCTAAAAATGTCTTTGTATGCAGTAGATTCAAGATTAGAAACTTGAATTGTTTTGGGGACAAATCTGTGAATTTGTTCTAAAATAATGAAGATCTGTTTAAATCACCTCGGCTGGGTATGAACATCTTAATTTTTTTATTTTACTGAACTAAGAAAATTCTTCTGTCCAAACACTGGAATTTGAAGGTGATCGTAGAAATTACCCTGAGGAAAGAATTCCTATTTCTGCTCCATCAATACCCCGTCAGCCACCACCTGCTCCACGAGTGGAGAGGAAGCCAGAATCTAAAAATGTAGATGATATTTTGAAACCACCAGGACGGGATAGCAGGCCAGAGAGGGTGAGTGTGTATTCTGAAAGCAACCATCAGTTTTTTTGAGGTCTTTATTCAGATAAAATGCTCATGAGTGTAATATGTTGGGAACAAGCCTACATTTGAGGAAGCTCTGGAAATTCTCTTGGTTCCTTTGCAAATGTCTAGAGTGTTGTAGCATAGCTATTAGGAGTCCGTAGGAGATACAAACTTCCTGGGAATGCTAAGATGAAATTCCTATTAGTGGATAATGTTAATGTATTTCAGAGTCTTCTGAGATCTTCCCTTGGGTTTTTGATGTATCAGAGGAAAGACTTGACTTTACACAGTGTCAGAGATTTGGCAATGCACCATATAAAGTAAGAACAAACAAGATTCAGGCTATAAAACATTTAGACAAGTTTCATTCAGTTAATTTTACCCGAACCACATCTATAGCATCTTATGCCGTATAAGCTGCTGAGATTAACGTCATAGACTCTTACTCTGTGGAAGTGTTACCATTCCTCACAACCTAGTTTGTAAAATAGGCAGTTGAGGCATGGTACTGGCTTTGCTTGGCGATATGCAAAAGCCTGAGCCTAGACCAAATAATTTTCTTGAAGAAATTTTTTACAAAAGAGATTCTGTTAAATGTAGTTCAGCATCCTATCTTCTTACGAGATCTCTGTTTCAGATTGTAATCATAATGAGAGGATTGCCTGGCAGTGGAAAGACACATGTAGCAAAACTCATCAGGGTATGTAAACCACCACTCACTGTGTAGTGCTTCTTGTCTTTTACATGTGCTTCCTCTGCTGTTTTCTTTCCGTTTGCCTGGAATTCCAATCTGTTGTTGTTTCATGTTCCGTGTCTTCATATGGCATGTGGATCCCCTCCACTATTAGCAAACATGAGGGATTCTGCTCTCTTCTTGTTTTGAATATAGACCAGGGAACTGCTGTTTGCCAAAAGTGGAATGGAATTTTTACAGCAAGAGTATACGTTTTCCTTTTGCTTTCTTCCCAGGATAAGGAAGTAGAGTGTGGAGGACCTGCACCAAGAGTGCTCAGTCTGGATGACTATTTTATCACTGAAGTGGAAAAAGAAGAGAGAGACCCAGATACAGGGAAAAAAGTGAAAAAGAAGGTACTTTCAGTTCAGTTGCTTATCTTAACAAAGAAACAAGGCATTCTGGAACAACACAGTGGCGATCAGAATGTCAGTCTGTGGAAGAGTGCAGAGATCTGTAGACTGTTTTTCGAAACAAGTCAATATAACTTAAGGGCAGAATGGACAAATTCTTAAAAGTTGACCTGGAAGATATATTTCTCTTACCAGTGTACTTTGTGGTCATGACATTCAGCAGTTGAACATCAGCAATTTAATAGATGTCCTCTTTCTTAAATGCTTTTGTCCTTGATAAAGGTGATGGAGTATGAATATGAAGCTGATATGGAAGAGACCTATCGTACCAGCATGTTTAAAACTTTCAAAAAGACCTTGGATGATGGCTTCTTCCCCTTCATTATCCTTGATGCTATCAATGATAGAGTGCGACATTTTGAACAGTTTTGGAGTGCTGCAAAAACCAAGGGTTTTGAGGTAATGGAGCCTAAAAACCATTTGAACCTGCTAGCACATGTATGCTGGTATTTCTCAACTTTTGAATGCAAAATCCCTTCCACATTGAGGAAAAATGCTGTGGTCTACAGTTGCAAATTTACCTTTCTTAGAATGTACAACTGCAGAGTGTATCACCAGGTAGAAAAAGAACTCTAAAAAATTATTTACAATATTTAATATTGTCTTTCTCTTTCTAGGTGTACTTAGCTGAAATGAGTGCAGATAACCAGACATGTTCCAAGAGGAATATTCATGGACGCAAACTAAAGGAAATCAGCAGGGTAACTGTATATATCTGGAGTCACAGGATTAATGATAGGTTTCGTTGTGCTTTCAGGCCTGCTGTTGTTGGAGAACTATTGACCTCTTCTAGACTACGTAATGCTTATGCTTTTCCTCTAAGAAAAGCTGGTAGTTATTTCATGGGATTGATTGAAATTACTCTTCTTAAGTACAAATACATCTTGTTTGTCATCAGAAACCCAATCTGTTGTGTTTTTACAGGCGCTTCATTTTCATTTGTTTTTTGTTAGATGTCTGATCACTGGGAGGCAGCACCACGTCATATGATGCGCCTGGACATTCGTTCTCTGTTGCAGGATGCTGCTATCGAAGAGGTGAGAATCTCTGTGCTGTTGAAATTGCAAATTATGTAGATGTGAACATACCTTTCTCTGCTTTATATTTTCAGTATAGTCACAACAGGGCAGTTATACTTGGCACTGTAGCTCCAGAATCACTGTGCAAAACAAGTGTATTCCATTATTCTTATCAATTACTCAAACATGAAGGTACACATTACTTTTTGTGACCTTTTTGGAGCCCAGACTTAGGCATATTTAAGCAAGAGTTGAAGCCACTTTGCTCTTTGCAACTGTTGAGTACCAATTGAAGAGGATCTTTACTCTCTCAGATGAAACTCAGCACTTATTCAGGTTACAGGATTAATCGGGACATAATTTGAGGAAGTAGTTTGATAAAATAAATAAGTAAATAAACAAATTTGAATTTCTTTTGGTCCCTGCTTTGAGAGAATGAAGAAATAAATAACACATAGCAGAAGATTACACTTGCTGTAGAAGTATGCTACCTTTTTATTCCATTTGCAGTTTGCCGTGACATGCATCTTTGGTGTGTCAGCTTTCTGTATTGTTGCATTCTTCTTTGGCAGATGTTTCAGGAACTCTGGGAATAAGTTAGTATATTAATTGTATAATCATCATGAATGTACCATAGCTGCATGTTGCTGTCAGACCAGCTCTTGCCATGGCCATAGAAACTGCTGAAGCAGGGAGAAGAGTTTAGTCTTCGTAGTTTGTCATGAGGTCAGCAGATTATTTCTGAATCTCCAAATTCTTCGTATCAGAAAGTTAGTAATCTTTAAGAGAACAGCAAAAGGCTCAGCTCTCAAGCAGACTCAGAGAGGGGCAGATTTGGGATTTACTCTGTGTGCATCAAGGTTTTCCTACTGGTATGAAGAAGTGTATGTACTTGGAGAGTTTTAGGTATTCCACAGTATACACATGAATTCCCATTAGAGATATGGATCCAGAAAGTATTGCGTTAGGTGGGCAGGGTTAGATGCATGTCTTAAAGCAATCATTTTCTTTATTATGTTAATCTCTGTGGTGGTTATTCTTCACTGTCATATATTTAAATATATAAAAGTTAAAGGCTTGACAGAGATGTTCTGTGCAGCGAGTGCTACTCCAGTGATGATGTCGTGGTTTTAGGCTGATCCAGCAACTAAAACTCACACAGTCTCTCCTTCTCCAGTAAAGTAGAGAGGAGAAAAAAAAAAAAAAAATTTAAAGGAACTGAAGGTTGAGACAAGAACAGAGGGAGCACCCACCAACCATGGTCCTGGGCAAAACAGACTGGGCTTTCTCAAAGCAAAACAGTTTATTAATGGTTACTTAAAAGGATAAAGGGAAATAAAACCGGTTACTTGAGAGGATAGAAAGAAACAAAACCAGATCTTAAAACCGACACCTTCCCCCCCCTTTCCTTTTCCTCCCGGCTCTACCTCCTCCCCCCAGCAGCGCAGGGGGCAGGGACTGGGGGAGTGCAGGTCAGTTCATTCCGTGCTGTTACTGCTGCTTCTTTCTTAAAGGAGGAGGAGTCTTTACACCCTTTTCCCCTGCCCCAGGTCTGACCCGGTTCCAAAACCAGGGAGGTCACAGGGAGCAAAGCCCCTCTCCTGCCACTAGAACCCCCACCCCCTCCACATCAAACCATGACAGATGTGTAAATGGCAAGTTTAAGATCTTTTTCTGAGATTTCAAATTTTGAAATATGATTGTCTGGGAAGCAAGAGGAGTATCTTACTGTTAGAGGTACTGGCAGCACAAAGAATGCATGTGAAGGAACAGAATAAACAATTGGTCCTTTCCCCACGCAGTTTGGCACTCTGTAGCTAGAAGTGAACCTGCTTCTGAGGGAAGCCAAAATGAAGCCAGTATTCATATATGTATATTGCATCATCATACTTTCCAAGATGAACCCGTTCTTTCCTCTTCTGTTTGAACTTGAAATCTTCTGCTTTGCTAAAAAGATAGTCCTTAGAAGTCAAGCAGTGCCTGTAAGTCTGTGCTTGTGCTTTGGAACAGGTGGAGATGGAGGATTTTGATGCAAATATTGAAGACCAGAAAGAAGAAGTCAAGAAGGATACAGCAGAGGAGGAAGAAAGTGAACTGGTAGGAAACACATCAGCCATCTCTAACAAAATGTTTGTTAACGTGTCTGAGGAAGAATCTCAGTCTTATAAATGCCAACCCATTGCCATTCTTAGTACTGCAATCTTAATACACACGTTTCTAGTCATTTGTTCCTTAAATGTTTCTAGGGCAATTTTAATGTTAAATCATATTACTGGTAACTGAATTCAAGAATGTGTGAGTATATGCCGCAAACACCATTTTTAGTGGAACGTGGCAACATGCCTCTTAGAGACATTTATAAATTGCAGTACACTGTGGCGCTGTCTCCCAGATTATCTAAGAATAATCCACTAAGTGGAGGGATTTGAAGAATGGTCAAAGATGAATTTAGTTTATTTCCTTTCACATGTCTAAAGAACTCTTCTCAACTGTCACAGTATGTCACAACAGTTACGAAGAAGAATGCTTTCTCTGCCAAGGCTCGCTGACTTTGTCAGTAGGTATTTCCAAGATGAGGGATTAGGTGTCTTGGATAAATGAAGGTTAGAGAATTGCCCTGAGGGCTGACGTTTTTAGGTATGTATTTAAAAGGCTATGGAAGGCTTCCTAATGTAACTTCTTGGTATGTGTTGGAGCCGCAGCTGGTCAGTGCTCGATAAGTTGAATGTGTCAAACCCTGGTTCCCACAACCAAGCAGTTAAACTCCAATAAACAGGAAGTAACTAAAAATGTCTGAGATGAACAAAGTCCTTTATTTGTGATGGAAATTTACTATTCCTCAGGAGTGGCAGTTTAGAAAGCAGTTCAAATACAGAATAAAAAACACAAAGCTTAGGAAGAGTGGATTTTAATAAACATCTGTTTTTTGCAGCATGACTCATTTATTCTCTTTACTAAGTTATTCTTTGGCACAGAGTATGAGACTGCATAAAGTGTGGTTAGAACATTTCAAAGATGCATCCATGTTTACAGGAATATGGCTGCTAGTCTCATTTGTTGGAAATGAGCTATATCTAGAAGATAAAGTTGTCTTTAGCTTTTGAGACATCTGTGCATAAACGTGTGTGTGTATGTGAGTATTTTTGGGTGCTGGGGAGTGTCCTAATGTACAGCACATAACAATAGGCCTTTCCTTTATAAGACAAGGAGAAAGCTTGGTGGTGAAAACTACGCAAATTATTAATAACTAAAAATAATCAACATATAAGAACGTTTTCTATTCAGATACTCAAGAGATGAAACAAAGCAAGAAATTATCCACTGTATGTAATCTCTGCTATTTGGTCACATGGCTAATCTCAGACAGAGGTATGTCAGACAGAAAGCTGGAACAGTACACTGTATTTGGTATCTGTTGTCTTCTTGAGAGCAGTTGGTAAGGGTTCTTCAGTTCGTTTTGCTGCCTTTAATCCTGTGGAAAAAGAGAGGTCTGAAGCTCCTGCTATCTGGCAGATGTCCTTGAAATATCCAACTGTCTTGTACCGAAGGATGAAGTCTGAATCTTTTCTTACCCTATCTGAGGACCGGGATATTGTAGAGATTCAGCACACAATAGGCCATTTCACACCATCAAAGTCACTGTTTTGTTGCTATTATCAACTCCCATAGGGTTGTTTGTAGCATTCAGACAATTCTTGCTTTTCTGTGCTTGATGGTATGAATTATTGATGCATTTAACTTGGTGTTCTCACCAGTATGTCACACATCACTTTGTTCAATACAGGCCTCTAGCTGTGGTGTAAACTTTCTGAGCAAATTTTAATGTGCAACTTGGTTTAAAAGTATAAATATACATATATATATTAAGTTTATTTATTTGTTACAAGGAAATATTGCAGCACAAGCTGTCTCAGTTTGTATTAATTAAAGACTTGATTAAAACCAATAAAATACAGAGATCTGATAATCTCAAGTCAGTGATACATGCTTGATAGAGAAAAGGTCTTTCAAGGATTTTGGAAGAGCAATGCTGAACATAACCAAAAGCAGTGTAGCTCTCTGGAATAGCACACTCTGATTTAGTAACCCTTAGCACTAACAAATACATGTATATGTTTACCACAGTGGAAGCAACCTATAAATAGAGCGGGAAATCAGTTAGTGTAATAAAACTGGTCTGTGGATGGTTTGGTTTTTTGTTGAAATCTTTTAGAGTAGTTCTTTTCCGTCTCTATTAAAAATCATTCTTAAAATAAAGAAATTCTCACAGGGGTTTCATTTCATTACATTGAGCTTTTTATGTGACTGCAGACAAACATAAGTAGTTTCATACCAAATCTGAACAGCTGAAATGAGTTATAAGGAGTTGCTTAGTAAGAATTTACTTGTGGAATAGTATAAAATGAAAAGATAACAAGAACATATCTAAAATAAATACCTTTTTGCCAAATTTAATATCATTATGCTCATTTACAGGGAATAAACTGGTTAATGATCATTACATATAAAACGTGTGATGACATTATTTGTAGGAAAAAAGTGTTTTAAAGTAATTATTGAACTAAGAAAGTTACTTTAAAATGAAAAATAGTAATTAAATCTTAGCGATTCAGCAGATGCTCTCATTTAAATTAAAAAAATAATTTTGTTTAGTTGTGGACTAACCACTCGTACAAGAATTTAATATATCACTTCAAAAGGATTATTAAGTGAAAGTTGTGTGTAGTAAATCTGGGAATATATTCTTAAAATCTTATGACTACAGGAACTTTTCATTTGTATTTGTAAAGCTTTGAATATTCTTTATGCCTCGTAAGTTGTGTTGCAATAACTTTGCCACCAGGGATAATACAGTAACTGTGCACACAGCGCCATTGCTGTCTGTTAGACTTGTTCCGGAGTTCTGTGTTTGCAGAGGGCAGCACTCTTGTAATGATTTGCAAGGGCTGCTAAAATCACTGAATGGGAAGTGGATGCAGAAGTTCTGAAATACTGAGTAATTTATTTCCTTCATCTGATAACAAGAATTGTGACTTACAAAAAGAAATACCTTAAACTCCCATTATAATGCTGTTTCCAGTTCAAAAGTGATATGCATGTGTGTCTCTCTCTAACCCTCCGAGCTTCTCTCTGTGTATGATTTAGGGTTACATTCCGAAAAGCAAATGGGAGATGGACACTTCTGAGGCAAAGCTAGGTGGGTATTTATTTTTTCCTGTTTCTTTTAGTTGGTATCTGATGATGTTTGCAAAACCTGAATTTTCGTTTTTACTGTGCCTCCTTACCAAAGACAAATAAATGTATTGATCTCTTGCACGTGTCTGAAACTGCAAACACATCTATACAGAAAAGAAATTTGTCTCTGCAGAGGCAAGGGAGTTACGACTTTAACCATTGCTGTTTTAAATACTCATTAATTGTTCCTCCATCTGTTCAAGGGAAGTACTTTGTTTTAAAATTTTTAAAAAAACAGTATTTCTATTCTTTATTCATCTCTTTCATATTATAAAAAACAAAGAGTCAACTTATATTGCACTGCATTCTTGTTCATACTGAATGAATGTCGTCAGTAACTTCTTACTTTCTGGGAGACATGCCTAGTAGCTAACTACGTTGAAAATGTTTCTCACTCTTCAAAATTGACATGTGTGAGGACAAAGTAGTGCCATGCTTTGAAGTTGGTTCTGAATGATTAGGCCTCATTGTGTCTTTTCAACAACTTAGGTATCGAAAAGTTAAAGTTCCTTATGCTTTTCAGTTCTAGAAGAGTACTAGAATTCTTCTTAGTAGGATGCAAAATGGACTTTCCAGGAGCACAAACGCACTATTTTTGCTGCACTTTTTGTTCTGATTAGTGCTGCTGGTTGGGTTAGACGTAAGTGCTAATATTAGGATTCGGTCAAAGGCAAAAGCGACTTTCAGGCTGGAATGCGTGCACCATGGCTGTGGTGGATGGTGAACACATGGAAAGAGGTTTCTAGTCATTATGATCAATTTGGGGGGGGTTTTGTGGGTTTTTTTTACTGAACAGTAATGGTTCTAAGTGAAGATTTTATCAATGCAATCTGCATAAAACTGCTCCTTTCTGTCATGTCTATGAGAAGTAACAAATAGCTGAATGGGATGCAGCATGTCTTAACATTTTGAGGTTTACTTCTGCATGTGTGGTGCAGCCCTGTGTATCTTTACTTTCCAATAACCGAAATCACGATGGCACCATAGAAATAGCATTAGAGGTTCTGGCTTACTTAAAGCAGCCTTTCATCTTTTGCTGTTAACTGCTTAGCTGCACGATCTCTGCTGCTGCTGTGTGCTCTTTTAAGTCATTTAAATATTGGTGGACTATATTTACATTGTGGCACCTGCAGTACAACTGGCAGAGCTTGGTATTCGATAATCTAGACGTATCAAACAGGCAGTTAGACAAAATCAGTTGAGGATTGGTCTGTGTTTTTGTTATAAGAGTTGATTGCTTTAATATATTAAGATAATTTCTTAAGTTTATGATGATTTTTTTTTTCCAGTTATGTATGAAATCATAGTACTGGAAAACTGCATTGTTGAAGAATGCTCTGATACATTGTGTTGTATTCCAAATAATATAGACTTGTTTAAATACTGAGTGGTAGGAACAGATGTGTATGCGCTGCATACGGTGAATCTTAAGTCATCCCTTGCATTTTACAAATATCACAGGAATCCAAAGTGTGATCTAAAAATTTTTATTTTTTTATGTGTAGTTTCTAGCAATGTGGAGACATTTACAGCAGAAATTTACAGATAGCTTTCAAAATTTACCTCTCTCATGACCAAATACCACTAACAAATAGCAACAGTGTGTTGCTTTTCCATATGAAAACTCCATAATATTAAACGCAGGATTTTTACATGATCTCCACTTACATGTAAAATGGGGCGCAAGCAGCAGAGTCGATTTTATGCTAAAGTTACTTGCAAGGCTGTGCAATAATCCTTTAACAAACAAACTCCATTAACAAACTGGATGTTAGCATGCTGCAAGACACAGATACTGGTGCTGAGAAGGTCTTTGAATTAAATCTGATCTGTGTTCACAATTTTACTTTTATAACTACCTTCTAGATTCATTTTTATAAATTATAGAACTATAGATTAGAAGTAAATTCTGACAGAACGTACATTTTAAAAAAGCTAAGAATTCTGATGTAATGAGTGTTGTTTCTCTGAAAAATTGCTCTGCAAGGGCAAACAACTTTTAGCTCAAGATATGCTTTATAAGCAGTTGCAGTCTGTGAGTAAGAATTATTGTATTTAATGCACAATAAGACTTTGTTGTAGATGACCAATTAAAATTATTTCCTGAACGGCATGTAAACTGTGGTATGCATTTGTTATTCCAAAATTGAGTTATTTCCTAGGAGCTGGCCTACCCATTAGGTTTATTGCATTAGTCCCAGGGGGCACACATTTGCAGAAGTGATGTAAGTGCAGAATCCAAAAACAACACTGTAAATCTTGTTTTGCTTTTTTTGTTTTCTTTCTGAGTAGACGTCTTTACAGTGCTTTACATGGTGCTTTACAGCGTCTTTACATTGTGCTTTACAGGAAAGCACAATGAGATCTTACTGATTGTAATAAGCCTCAGGGAAGGTCTGAAAAGTTTGAGTTCTTTAGCTGCAACGCTGACTTGCGACAGTCGCCATACTGTATGCCCCAGAGCTCTTGCTTTAGTTCAGATTTACTTTGGCAGGAGTGATGCATTCCTCTGAGTATGTGTGGTATATTGTTTCCTTATGTGTTGTGAGTACACAGCTACATTTTTATTCTAAAGTCTAATCGGTGGTCTATCTGAGTACATAGTGCACACAGGCTCTTGTATTTAAATTTACAGAAACGGACTCATTTTTAAGATTTTAATATATTTGAAGTGTTTAGTGCAATACTCTGTTTCAAAGTGCGGCTCAGTGGTGAGTTCTACAAACTTTCAGAAGAGGAGAAACGAGCTCTGGCATAGCTGAAGTTTTGATATCATTGTAAAATTTGCTCTAGAATGTAAATAACGTTTTACATAAGAGTGTGGCTTTTGTATAAGAAGGGCAAAAATTTGGCTGATTGGTTCATTTAGTTTTTGAAGGAGCTAATTAAGTCTATTACTTTCAGATGCTTTATTATTAAAATTCTAAAGGTGAGTTTTTAAGTTCTGTGGGTTTTCAGGAATGCTACTGTGTTTAAAATTAAAATGGTAAAATGGTAAAATGGTGTTTCATAGTTTAACACTAAATAATCATCTGCCATAAATGTTCACAAGCGCCATTGTTACAAAATGACACCTTGTCTCATTTTCAGAAAAGAATATCCTGAAATAATGCTTTGTGGTAGGCTTTTGACATTTCTGTAGTATCTACTGCATGGCACATGTACCTTGAACCACGATAGTATGGATGGAAGCAGATCCCTCTGGAAAGGCAAACCAACTTCAGACACGCAAGGAGATAACATTAAAATAAATTCTTTGTAGCAGGGACGAAAAGGAACAGAGGGGAACCTCATACTCTGAATGCCTTCTGAACTCCTCTATTGATGTTACACATTTCTTGATGATGTTTTCAATAGTGGGAGACTGAACTCATTCTTCCACATTGGTAATGAGATGAGCTTGCATCATAACATGTTGCCTTCCAACAGGAATGTGTCTGTATACAGATACTTGTCAATAGAGAGCTCCTGAATTTTCAGTTCTTCGTGTTCCTTGATGCTCCTCAATGCATTCGTTGCTCTTCTTTTCAATGTGATTTTTTTTTTCTTGAAACCCTCATGCTACCAATGATCTACGCTGATTGATCTGAGAGTAATACTGAGGAATCGTGCAAGGACATTGTGTGCTGGAGTAACGGAGGAATATTGTATAAATCAATTTTCTCTTCTAGAGGGAGTGCCGTCTTTCTGTGGAGATCAAGCTTCAAATTTGGCAGATTTAACTTAGAGCAAAAGAAGAACCTAACTGAATCGTGTAACAAGATATCATGTAACAGACACAAATATTCTGCACAGTTTTCTTAAATGTTGGCTTTTTCAAAAGGCAGAAGGAGATTAAAATGTTTTCTTAGAAGAAATTCTGTATCTGTTCCAGGGAAATGAGGCCAAGTGGAGTCTTTAAAAATTTGAGTTGGATGAGGAAGAAATTACTTCATTCATTTATGGCATTTAAATGATACTAGCATGTGTACATCACCATTGCTTCACATTCTCTCCGTTGTTGCTCTTCTCTCTCCCATATTAAGTAAAAAAAACTCATCTGTGAACTGAGCTTCTTTAAATACATGCCTTCGAACACCCTCTTCTGCTCTCCAGAAAATATGCTGCCTCGTATTTGGTTTATTTCTGAGGCCTTTTGTGGGTCAATTTAATTACATCAGTGACTTCTGAAACAATGTTACTGACATCAATGGAAATGGTTTATGGAATATAACTGCCAAGCTTCATATTCCTTCTGCGTATACTTCAATTGTTGACTTATAAAATGGTAGCATACCTCAACAGAAGTATTAGGATTTCCTTTGACTTGTAAAGCTGTTTTTCATTTTCATGCTTTGTGGTTCGTAATCTTACAATGAATACTTCATCTCCTTTCCAAAAGCAGTTTGCCACATAATTTCAAGAAGGTGTTGTTTTTTTCACTGAAAATAAGTGTCCAAAGAGGAACAAAATTTTAGAACATAGGAATGGAATTGTTTCTCCTCACGCCTTATTGGTTCAATAAGAAAAAGAAAAAAATGATGACTGTTGGACAAAAGTACTGCTGAAATATTCATGACTGATGTCTTACACCATGAAACAAAAGCTTCTGAGATTTTTTTTTTTCCAGTCCTGGAGGGTTTTCTGAATGTGTTTTCCTTGTGGGGAGAGAAAAAGAAAGGGTTGGGAATCAGGGTTTCCAAGGACCTTTTTGTTTAGCAGAAACAGTATCTCAAAAACTTGTCTTTGATGCTTTAAATTATATGATCATGTCTCGTTCCCTGATACTGCATGTATGCCATGTGTGACACAGTATTAAACCCCAAATTTGGGAAGAACGCTGCAGCTTTAGTATTGTGTTCAAATACAGAAAGGCGGGTCTCTGGTGGTTCCTAGCTACTGGTGGCTATACTGTACCTGTAAGGACAAACTCCATATAGTATGAACATCCAGAAGAGCAAACTTTTCTCCCTCATACAAATAACAAGACTGAGCGTTATTGCCACACAGTTAATGTGAAAGAACAATAAAACTTGAAAATGATGTTGAGTCTTCTCTAGTTTATTTCAACTCTCATCATTCCACCTGTCAAGACAAGCTGGATGTACAAGTTCTGCTGCTCATTCTTTTCAAAATTTTTCCGCTCTCGTCTTGTTTGTGTGAATAATAGAAAAAAATTCTCCTTTAACTCTGAGGCTCTGTGTTTGTTCTCAGACAAGCTGGATGGTTTGCGGACTGGCACTAAAAGGAAACGTGACTGGGAAGCAATTGCCAGCAGAATGGAAGATTATCTACAGCTTCCAGATGACTATGATACACGTGCTTCTGAACCGGGAAAGAAAAGGGTAATAAATTTTCAAGTGACTTTCTGTCTGTATATGAGCATTTAACAGTCTCTGTGTAAAAGAGTTTGTATCAAGTCATTCAGTGTCTATGAATATGGCAGTTTCACTGACTCACTTTTCATTTTGCTGTTCCATTAGATTCTGTAAGAGAATATTCTTTAGAGTAGGGTCTTCCAGAGGTAAACAGGTTAATTATAACGAAGTGAGGAACTGTAGGTGATAAAGATTAACTATGTATAGCATGGCTTTTGAGATTGAGAATAGAATCATGTCCCGTTTCTTGCTGGTGGAGATGATGCACTTTGTTTCAGAGCAACCCATAGAGTCCTTTTCTTATGCTGTATGTTTTGTGATGCGATAGTGTGATATACAGTGCAGATTCCAAGACAAGATGATGATTTTATTAAGCTATTCTTTTGTCAGGTTTTGTAATAAGTAGGCAGTGAGACAGTACACTGTTTTTACTTTCCTCAGCTGAATCTTTTTGAACATACCAGCTACGTAGGTTTTATATCAATTAAGTCTTGTAGACATTACCTCCTGCATATACCTTGCATAAAGCTTGGGAAATGGTGTATAAGAAGTTGGCTTCAACCACTTTATATGTAGTTCTGTTCTGAACACAAAATACTACATCTTCAAATACCATTATGAAAAAAAGGGAAAAAAATCATAGAGGAAGACGAGAGAGAGGTAATAAGAAGAGGTAATACTTCCCCCCACCACCCTCCGAATAGAAAGACTGACTTTTGCCACTAAAAGTAATTTGAGTTAACTGTCAGTGTCTGGGCTTTTGTTTTGTTCTGTAATGTCACTTAGAAAACATGGCTAGTACTGGACAGCATACGTGAGAGAAATGGAGATACTATGCCATTGGCAGAAGAAGTGATGGTGGA